CTTATTATTGTATAAATAAAGTACCAACCGGCTACCAGACCGCCATTCTTAAAGTAAATAAATAACTACTTCTCAATCATATAAGTATTTTCTAATAGGAGACCTTCATATTATTATATTATGAGGTATTAGTTGTTCTTGTTATTATTATTATTTTTTTTTTTTAATAACTAGTTTGTGATTTTCAATTTTGATGTTTAGATACATACATATTTAAATAGAATTATGATCACTGATTGTTTGAATTGTTTAAAGCTTTGTCGGCTTTACATAGGCAAATATTTTAAGAATTATACCTACTGAAATGATTGTCTAAAGTCCAATACCTATTCAAGTTTAGTTTTTACACATTATGTAAAATTTTCTCAGCTTTCCGAAAAAAATATTATTATAACTAAGATTATAAACTCAATTTTATGTAAAAGTAAATTGTTTTTCAAAAATTTTAGGTTATTTTACATAAGAAACTGATTTAAAAAAAATGTTTTGATGGCATAAGATACTTTTAAAAATCAATAAAAAAGAAGAGTAAAGAAAAAAACTAAAAATACGACTATGGCCAAAATAAACAAAAAAAAAAAAAATATTTGAGAACATTCTTTTCATTGTAACAGACACGCAGGGTAAGTTTCAAAAAGTTCCGCGAGGAGTTGCTTTAAAAGTGCGTTCGTATTTGGTGTTTTCAATTTGGTTAGGTATTTGGTTAGGTCAATCAAATCTCCATAAATAGTTTTAATAAATATGCAATGAAGGGGTAAACAAAATGTTATTCTCTATGTAGAATTATTATAACCAATATATTTTTAAGTATGAGGGCCTGGTGGTTGGTACACCGAGTGTAAAATCTAGAAAAAAAAATAATGAACTTTGAGAATTATGTTTGATACCCAAGTGTTAAGTAACTAAATCTATACTTATTTAACTCGAAACACAAGTTTAAAGTATACATAATATATATTTAGAAAATATAATTTTAAAAAATTATCCAATTTTGTCCAAGATATAGATGAGGTATTAGAATTATTGAATGAACAAATAGGATAAACACTTATTAATATCTTAATTATAGCATATAATATACATCTTTTTGTGCGTGCTACAACAATGAATGTGAACAGAATTTTTGGTAATTATTGTTTTTTCTAAACAAATTGGCCATAATGCGCGATCCACAAGGTTGAACATAATTTGATTAAAAATAATAATTGTTTTTTATTTAATATCCATCGTGTTATTAGGTAAAGTATAGTATAATATGCGGTGCATACCGGTTGCAATGCCAGTGTTTCCCTCTCGGTATACGGCAATAATAATCACGGCTATGGCTATTTTATTGTTGAATCGACCTAGGACGGTCGGAAATCGTAGATGTTATAATAATGATTATTTAATAATATACATATTATATTTTATACTCCATCGTCAGAGAAAACCAACGAGTCAAAAACCGAAGGACACTCGATGGCGTGTTCTGGCGAGAACAATTGTTTCATGAAAACAAATGCAAATGATTTCATCAAACTATATAGCTAATAATTTATTCTACAATTATGTGTTTTATTCTTCGAAGTTCGAATAATCCATTTTTTTATTGGAGCCCACTTGATTGACATATTTTTTACAATGATATATATTGATAATATATATAATGATATGTGTTTTTCCTATTTTCGTACCTGAACCGATTTCTTCATATACCTACCTAACTATAGATCAAAAACCGTACACCTCAGGTACTTAATAAAATTTAAAAGGTTTCCAAAATATTTCTTGGAGAAGTATTATTACCAAATTAGTTTGGGGTACTATTCAATGATACATCAAATCGCTATATTCACAGTAATTTTGTCGCTTTCAGCTATAATAGTTTCTTAAGATATTTCATCACTCTAACTTCAATATGCTCCGAACCCACTGAGAGTACAGGTTAATGTTTTACACATTATAGAAGTCGATTTTGTATCGACATTATCTCCTATAAACTTATATGTTTAAACTGTCAACTATATGGGACTCTATGAGAAAAATTACGGAGGTTCGAAATGTAAGAAGTCAAATGAAGAAGTATGTCTTAAGGGGACGCCACATAATTGTTGGACTCAAGAGCTAAAACTTAATATACTGCAAAAATTAAATGTCAAGACAGCAGTTAAGAAAAGAACACCACTCTTACATACAAACTCACTGTAATTCATATTTGTTCTGTTTATCTATCTTAAACTGTATTAAAAAATTAAGTTAAGTTATAAAAGAGTCAATATTTGTTTTTCAGAATTTTTTTTTAAAGTATTATTACTATTTACTTCTATCTACTTTATCAATATTTCAAAAATAGCATACAACCCAGTGGCCGATACACGTGGGGGGGAGGGGGCAATGGGGGCTGAAGCCCTTATGTACTTAAATTGTATGCATTAAAAGTGTATTTTTTTATAATATAAAATATAAGTATATTATGGAATTTTTTTACAATGTAAACGTTATCAATCATTGCCATAATATTTAACATTTTCAAAATCGAATTTTTGTACTTATCATGTCAAAGTGCTTCGAATAGTTCTATAAGTGTATGACCAATGAGCAATGACACCCTTTGGCTCCTAGGTGGCAACTATAAAATCAAAAATTTAAAAAGTTGTAAAACAACTCATTAAATTTCGTTTTTGTATACAAATAACTAACAAGAATACTAACACGTAGTAACTATACAAATTTCAAATTAGCTTAGATGAAATCTAATTGAAAGGTAAATTTGGCAGGGAAGTTCGAATATTAATTATAGATGCAATTATATGGCTGTTGATATGTTGCATGGTAGGTAGAGTTTATAAGGCTGACACACTTCTACAGTATCTGCATCATATAGGAAATAAGTAGTAATATTAAGATTCTCATAATATTAAGAATCGTTTTTCCGTATTATGTGCGTCATTAAGAAAAAAAGCGATGTTATCGGTTGATTAATAAAACATATCATAATATGAGTACGTTAAGTAGATGTTATCTGATCGAAACAGTAATAAAAAAACTTGGGTCACAAAATAGCCAATAGTAATTTACTATATACTATATATAGGAGTAGACCTCGAAAACAATTAAATTTTTTTTTATTCTTTCTTTATGTATAATAAACATATTGTTTTTTTGTATTTAAACTATTTTGGACTGTTGCCCGAAGCCACCGGCCAGCAGCTGAAGCCATTTGAGTGTCACGTTAATATTATTGAGCTATTCTTATTAACACTAAACTGACGTTTCAAGTTCGCCAAGTGAATTTCGAACACCCAAAAAAATGTCAAGGAGGTAAAACCGGTCGATTGTCGGTCAAACAACAATCATTATCGTTGACGTGCCATCTTTTGCCATAAGAATACTCATCTAACCGTCAATTCGATTAAGATATTATGTTAATTACGCATGGATGACTAACGAGTTATTTGAAAAAAACACTATTAATTATAGAAGTTAACTAACAGTCAAGACTCAAGAACTTATATATTATCTGTGCAGCTTATCTGGACAGCACACAATATTATGTTCGCTTAAGGACAATAATTGAGCAACAATCGTTCCTAAACTGACAAAAGGCAATTTGCAGACAAGAACTCTTATCGGATAAAGTATAAATTACACAAACCATCACACTGCAGTGAAAGTAAAATTATTCGAAATTTTTTTTGCGATTTCATTAAAAATGGTTTTTGAACGCGTTCATTAGAAACTTTGAGCAAACGATTTTCATGTTTACATTTCTTGTAAATTAGTAGGTAATTTAAAATGATACGGAAGAATAGAGAGACAATGAAATGTGAAGTCTTGGTGACTTATACGGCCCCAAATTTCACAGATAAAGATAATAATCTACTTGGATTACTTGAGTGTATTTAAATAAGAATTCCGCCATTATAACTACGGCTCAAAGTTATGTGTTTAAAATTATAATGAAGGGGTTATTATAAGTTTTTGATAATACAAGAAATCCATACAATGTTTTTTGTTATTATTCAAAAAAAGCTTACACTCTTCGTTTTTTTCTGTGGGTTTTATTCTGGCTGTTGTTCTACACATTAACATAACATGGCAGTTAACAACAGTTGCGGATTGAACCAAATGATATGTATACTCTTCGACTCCTCATTCCCTGGCCATTCCTCCTCTGTTTAGCAATCTATATTATTATCAATACACATTACGCACGAAACACTCATATAAGATCTAATGAATAGTTCTAGATTGTGAAATTCGAAATTTGTAGTAAACCCGGTTTTTGGAATCTATTTGGATTGGGTTCATAAATCTTTTTTGAATAATAATTTGTAAATTAAACAATTTTAACTAACGATAAAATATCATTTAATTTATTGAATAGAATTTTAATTTTAATACTGAACATTTTACTATATAAAACTCACAGTTTCGGGTTCTTGAATTTCAGAACCAGGAGTTTACTGTAAATCCGGATTTAGGATTTTAAAATAAGATTTTATGATTTTTTGGATCATCCAGGTTTACGTTACATCACTAATTAGATAAAATATTAAGAATAAATAACACAAATCGTGTTATCTGTTTTCTTCTGAAGCCACGCTAACCATTACACATATTCATATTTTTTTTGTTTTAACTGAAATTCGCTTGAAATTGATAAAAGTTCGACTGCCTCCAAAATTCTGCGATTGACACTACTATCTCAATAAGGCTCTATAGTACGTACATTAGCTAATTATTGTATGTTTCCTTTTTCATTGACGTTCTATAGAATTAATGTGCAACGCACAAGCAATGCAGGTAGTAGGTACACGTGTTTTACCCTTTTTAGTATACTAGCACATGGTATACTATTATAGATATAATAATTATACTCAACGGTACTGTATCTACGAATCGTATCCATGGCGACAGGTTTGTGTACTTCGATATTTTCTTTTTTGTTTTGTAACTTTCTCGGCTTGTCGGGATCTTTCTCCGTTAGTTGTTAATAAGTGTCCAACGTGTTTTAGAAGAACTTTCAGCCGACCACAATCCAAGTTGCTATCATGGCGTTTGACGCAAAAATGATGGAAATCGTGAAAGAAATCGGTTGCACCGACGGGTTTCACATACCGGTAGCCAACGAAGAGAACAGATTGCTCGAAAAAGAGGTATAGTGGAGAGTAAAAAAAAATATCAGTGATATAATGTTTAATATATTAATACCATTAACGTACCACAATTATTTTGATTAATGATAAACGGATTTTATAAGTTAAACCCAAACTAAGAAAATACTCAACTTCAGATTAAGGAAATTTGTATTTGTTTGGTTTTCACTTAGCAATGTGTTCAATACTTCCGGATCAATTTTACTAAATTATTAATCTCTATCTCGAATCTTCTGTATATTTTTTTATCAATAGCAAAAAACGCCTTTGCATTCAATTTATCATTTAAAATAAAAATATCATCTTATTATTTTTCAGTAGGCAATTCACTAAATTCGTATTTGTAATAATTTTTAACAGAACTTTCTAGATAAAATTTAGATTATTATAGTAATTTGTACGATTGTTACAATTTTAGTCATTATAAAAAAAAAAAAACAAAAACAATTGACGATCGCTTGTTTTAGATCAAAGAGTTACTGCAAAGGAAAGCTGAGCTCATTGTAGCCGAAGAAATACTGGACGATGACGTAAACATATTGAACGAGAGACTGACCGACAACACGATCAGTCAGACTCAAATTCAGGTAAAAAGCCCGTTTCATTAAAAAAGGCCCTCGTGAAATAGTCAGTATGTCTTTGTATTACTGATTCGAAATTATGGCATATTGTCAACGCAGAACCTGATCCTGGCAAACCGTAAGCAATACGAGACGGAGCAGCACATGCTGAAGGCAGCTGAAAGGGAAAACGAGAACTTGTCCCGCAATAACCGAAATGCGTTGAAAACGCTCAACAGTCTGATAAACGAAAGGAAAAAATCCGAAGTAGGTGAACTTATGTTGAAAGTTATTTAGATTATAATTTAAAGTTGGTGGTCCGAAAAACTTCAAGTTTGGTTGGAAAACAACTCAATTAAATGCATATATACAGGCGCGTGCCTAGGGGAGGGCAAGAATTATGGAAGATACCACCTTCCATAATTGTGATTTTGTTATTTATGGAAAAATGATTAGTCGTATATTTTTTTTTTTTTAATATTATCGTTAGGGTTAAGTAAGTGAATCAACAGTAAACATATTAGGTAAATACGACTTTTAAATAGAATAATTGTCAATTTTCTTTACTATATCTTGTATTTGTTTAGAGTTTGTATTCGTAAATATTTAAAATATAAAACTATGTATTGCAATTAAATGCATTTTGGTTTGTGTACCTAGTTTCAACTAGGAAAACTACTAGAAAGACCCGAGATTAATGAGATTGGAAAAAATATAGGAGCAAAATAGACTGAAAATATAATAACATTATAATACATGTAATTCCCATCAGGAATTAGGTGCGGGCAGCAGCAGTTAGTGTACATAATTTCGCAGTGAACACATTTCATTTACGAGGCATATTTCGAGTGTCAATAGTGTATCCAAGTATATACATTGTACACCCAAGCAAAAATACCCGTGAATAATCTATTTGTGTTTAATATAATATATACTGCATAAGCCCGGTCGTACTGTTTTTTAGTCGGCTGCGATTCAGTTAATACGCTGTTTAGCCAACTGTTGTCGGCGTTTTCCAAACATACTCTGTACATTATTATATTATTACTTATAGTTCTACATTGTATTGTATTACTTATTTTTAAGTATTATTTCTACGGCTGCGGTCGCTAACGATACATGCGTTTCCCGTTCAGAACGCGGCCGATTGTTTTGATAGGGTTTTTTCACGGAAAATTTTCCACAGACGTAACCCAGTTTTGTGCACAAGTTATTATGATACACACACACATACTTTGATACGTTGATATATAAGTATGAAAAAATATTATCGAATTTCAGCCGTATTTGCTAAGCGTGACTATATGAACACGGCCGTTTCTTTTTCTTCCGCATTACGAAATGCTCGCATTATGGCGATTACAGGTATCGATACAAATATGTAGAGTATCGAGTAGGTACAATAAATATAATAGGCAAAAATATATGCATAATGTACAAAGTGATTGAATTACTTTGAAAGTTATTAAAGTTTAGGACGGAAACGACGCGTAGAGTGTAGTATTATTTTCATATGCGCGCTTCGCTCTATCAACTACCGTTCTTAAATGTTCTAAGTCTAAGTAACTTTAAAGGCAGTTTTCCAAAATTGCAATTAAATTAATAGAACTCGAGTGTCTTTAAAGTGCTATGAGTATATAGCACTACTATGTTGTAAACTATTAGTACCAATTTATAAAACTTCAAAAACTTGTCTACTTCATATATTTTTTTAATTAGGTACAAGAATTATGTAACAATGCAGGGAAAATTTTATAAGGTTTTATAGCGTATAAAGCCTTAAATTGTTTAGTGATTTGTGTATTGGCCTTAAGCTGGATTCAAAACTAAATTTCTCGAATTTAAATAAAATAACTAATTCAATATATTTTAACGAATCTCTGGTTAGGTTATAAAAGATTACTAAAATATTTTTATATTTTTGGTTATCATATATTAACATGAACGTATGTCATTAATGTTGTTATGCCATTAGGACGAACTAGCGAAAACCACAGAGCATATAGATAAATTGAGAAGTACGATCGAATGGGGTGAAGAAACTTTGTTGGCGTGGAACGAGGACTTAGCTAAACGGACGTCGGAAGTGAACATCTTGGACACGTACAATTTGGAAGACAACAACCGGTTTAAAGTATTAGCGGTCGGTGTTTCCATTGTTCATAATATATTGTTTTTTTTTTTTTTACTTTATAGGAATTAGATTTTCGTAGACAGCACTTGCAGGGGTCGGTGATTGAGAGGGAAATCATTGTAGAGAAAGAAGTCAGCGATCTACTTCAAGTGGAAAGAGAATTTGAACAGACGTCTAAGCTCACTAGGCAGTCGCAAAAAGAAAGAGACCGTTTGCTCGAACAGTGGGAGAATTCTTCCAACTTTTTCAAGTCCCACAACGAAGAACTGCAGAATTCGGTACAGGTTAGTGCAAAAGAATGTAGCCATTTAGCTCTAACGAATGATTTCGAAAAATTATAATAAACCTAAAATGTACATCAGGAGATCAACAAGATTAAGGAAACTATCAGGGAGGTTTACGACAAGATGAGGGAAGACAAACGCGCGTACCAGAATTATTTAGAAGAAAATGAAGATATCCAGTGCGAACTGTCCGAAACTCATAAAGTCAACGACGAAATGAAATTAACGCTGATCAAGCAGCAAGAAGAAATCGAAAATTTGGCGTCTGAGGTGAAGCCCAATTTTGCATAAGCCACATCCGTGTTGGTGTCTAGTAATCGGACGAATGGTATCTTAACGTACTTTTAGGTTTCGATTGCACAAGGGAACGTCAACCATCAAAGTCACATGTTGGACGACGAGCGGGCAAAGCGCAGGCACATGGAAAGGAATGTGGCCAAGATGGGTGAGCAGATACAGCAAAAACGCCATGAAATATCAGATTTGGAAGAGAGCTTGAAAAAGACCAGAAGCCAGTCGATGACCACCGAGGAACGGTTGAACGAGTTAGAAAAGATATTCGATGTAATGGATATACTCATTGCGTTTTGTAATAATTATTGATTTGAGTTGTAGCCGGGATTGTTTGATTTTTTTTTCTACATTAGGCGCAAAAAGCTAAGGCTGACCAACTAATGTTGGACGGAGACAAACTGCAGACCGCATCGTTCCACGCGCACAACGAGATGAAACAATTGCAAAGCAAAGTCGATCTGATAAATCGTCAGTTAAGCCGAACTCAAAGCACACAATCCGTGTCTGACCGAGACGAATGGAAAATAAGACAGCTGATAATGGACAGGAAAGAAGTTGTGTATAATTTGGTGAGTCCATACGAAGAAGCATAGACGAACTATATATTAAATGTTAACTATTTTTATATTTTTTTTTAGAGTTTTCAATTGGAATTAATTTGTAATAAAGTAGCCGAAGCCCAAGGTAGCGTAGACCTGGAAGTAATGCATGAGCTCCAAGATCAACTGTATCGCCTCAACGAGGAGCTGAATCACGCCACGGACTACCGGAACCAATTGGATAAACAGCTTAAGGCGACAGACGTAATTATATTTCTGCAAAACTTTAGTAATAGAATAAACTATGTTTTACTGTTTTTTTCAGTGTGAGACACGACGCCTCGTCAAGGAGTTGGAAAGAGACACTACTGAACTTTCCGCGCTTCAGGAACGCAGGCAGCACATGACTAACCGCAACGAAGGAGGTCCGTAATGACATATTGCAATTACCCTTGTCCTTGGCAATATAGACTCAAAGCGAGAGTTATAACTACTTGTATTTTTGATAACAGGTGTCAAACAAATTAAATCGTTGAAGGAACAAAACCATCATCACCACATGGAAGAGTTGATGCTTAAGTTCAAGGTGGCCCAGATGAAAAAGTCTATGGATCACGAATGCGAGAAAATGCACTCATTGGCCAGACAACGAGAAGAGTTGACTGCGGTAAGCAGTTGTGTATTAAAGGCAGTAGCGGTCACCATACAGTCAAATGGGGGGTTCAGTCCGTGTAATTTAATAACAATGTTTCGGAACTCCTTGTAAACAATTATTCAAATTATTACATCTCTAGGGTCCGTTGCCTGGTTAGCACCACGTGAAGAGAGGGGCAAAACTCCACGTCGGTTAGATAAAGAAACACAAATAATTCGAAAAACTTCTCTCCTCAAAATATTGAATCATGGACATGTTTTTAACATAACGGGTCCGCATAACCGTGACTAAAATGTTGGTGAAATTGAGTCTAACACATAAAAGCATTAACATGTTTTTGGCAGTAATCTTACTAATAACCTCCATTAGTTATTCAGGGATTTCTCGATATTGATATCCTCTAGCAACTGAATCAGTTGATTTAGTTTATAGTTGTATTCAGTTTTAGTTTGGTCAGTCTTATCACTAATATCATAGTATCTGATACTCTTATCAATAATCACTTAACAGGGATTATTGATGTCCTCGTTCACCATCATATCCCATGGTGATTAGGCCCGACCCACGATCTTATAACCAGGTCTCGTAACTCCCTGTACGGAAGCGTAGATTTTTTGTTCCAATATGGCGGCCACAAAAGTACATTGATCAGCCGAAACGTTTTTAAAAAAAAAAATGTTTTTATTTTTGTGAGTAAAATGTCACTTTTGTGACCCCATACTGAAATAAAACGGTTACGCAGGGAGTTATGAGACCTGGCTATAATAAAGATGGTCTGACCTGACCACCATTTTATTCACGTGTCCTCTAAACCTTGTCACTTATGCTCTATCAGTGGTGCTTTTTCAGCAATTTTTTTTTAATCGAAAATATACACCTTTTTGCGGGTCTGGAAATTTGCGACACGCGTCTCAGACAAAGACGTACAGCCGAAAAACATTACCACATTGGTTGTACTTTGCGATTGTGTTGTGAGCTCAATCAATGGCTATTGTATAGGATGTGAACAAGAGGAAAGCCGAGGTGGCGGCTATCTTGGATCGGCTGAACGGCGAGAGAAAGATTTTATTGGAGGAAAAGTCGTCGGCTAAACGCCGGCTTGACATGGTCGCCCAGCAAATCGGTCAGAGACAAAAAAAGTATCAGATCTTGTTGGCGTCTATGGGCACGGACGGATCAACGTTCACCGTCGGCGAGTACAGGATCAGAGTGTCGCAAGAGAAACTGGAGCTTCAGGAATTGGGCGACCAGCTCGACAGTCGCGTTCAGAAACTCGAGGAAGAAATAAGAGCAATGGAGAACACGCTGCACGTGCTGAACGCAACCAACAGCTGTTACAAGGCCAGCCTGTCGTCCGCAAATCCGGAGAGTACGTATTTCTCTGCTGACTTTTCACGTTGCTGATAGGTATCTTAGTTCGTGCTTTACTGGTATCGTTTTTTTTTTTTTTTAATTTCCAAAAAATATTTACAGGTGTCGAGTACAAAGAGAAAATCCGTTTGGCGGAGATATGCGATAACGTCAACGACATGTGCCGACAAAAGAAGATAAACTTACGAGATATTAAAAGTCAAATACAAGTAAGACGCGCACATTTTATGAATTATTCCAATAACTCGAGCAAACCTTATCGGTTGACATCGGGCGAAAATATACCGACTGATTTACCAACCTCGCCGATTTAGATTACTGTAACATAATAATACAATACGTTTGTTTAGGACTTAGAAGTAAAATGTCAGGAGGCTAACGATGAGCTTGTGGCCGTTACTGCGATGCGGGGTAACAGGGTAATAGAACTGGAAAGAGTGCTAAAAGAGGTCGAGGGACAGAGGCTAAAACTAGAACGAGTGGACGGTCTGATCCGGTGCGAATTGAAAAAGTTAGAAAAAAAATGTGTCGAACCGGATAAGGGCAAAACTTTGGAACACATCAAGGTAAGCTGATTTATGCACGCGGTGGGGGTTAAAAAAATAAGATATTAGTAATACTACTAGAGATATTATCTATTATTGAAAAAAAATCCCAATAACACGAATATAATCCACCTTTAATGTTTATACTTTATAAAGATTATAGTTTATACAATAAGTCAAAGTCTGTCGCGATAAAGTAGTTGTCAAAACAAAAATACTTTTGTTGGCTGTATGACATAAGTATATGCCAGTCCGTTTTTATGTTTTAAAAAAATTGCTTTTTATGATTATATTAACACCAATATAAGTAACGTATACATATATTTAATATTTAGTATGATAGTATATTTAATGGTAATAAAACAGTTGGTAAAAAATTATAGTGATAAACTATGATATTATAATCAATGTTTAAGCCATACAACAAAATAATATTTCTAAAAGCTGCTCTGAATTAATATTGAAAATAAAATAAAATTCTGTTCAGTGGTATCTGCAAAAACCGCTTAATCCATACACAAGGTCAACCAAAGAACCTCCATACGATAGTTTAAGTATATTATGAATTATGATATACTTAATGGCTAATATATTTAAGATTAATCATATCGAGTGTCTTGTATTATTGACCTTTTGTATTTTTACTTCTAGTTATAGAACTTTACATTTTATGTCCAAGCAGAAAAACGCTGAACCCCTAACTAAAAAAGCGGATAAGATACCTACCGGTTTTTAGATGTTCATATTAGAATAATCGTTATTTACCTTTTTAGGAAGGGGGTTTCTTTTCAATAATACTAATAACTTGGTGAAATTGTTCGGCACACGACATTTATTTGCTTAAAAGCCGACCAAGTATCAATTACTTATTAATCATCAATTTTTATTTAATATAAATTACCTAAATTGATAAAAATCGATTCTTAGCAGTGACTGCATTACGTAAGTACTATCTAGGTAGTAAGAACTTGTTGGTCATTAAAAAGGGAATTATTGTTTTATTATTTTAAGTACGAGTATACAAAAAAAAAACATTGTGTGTATATTATTAATTATACAAACGATTGTTAGTTGTTTGTATACTTTAGTCGGTACACGTGGTAAGTAGATGTACTCGTGTTTAGTTCATTCGATTTTATAATAATAATAATTGTTTATAAAAATTAAATTAAGTTTTGATTAGCCAAACACGTGTGCTAATATAGTTTATACTTAAACGCATTTTTTTAATCGTCGTCGTCTAGTAAATCATTCTGTTAACTTAATAAATAAATTACAAAATAATACCTACATAATATATACTTGGTCAAATTCATTTGTTGCCTTGACACATTATTAACGAAACACTGTTGTTGGTCATATAAAATGTCAACTGAAATTTGAATTGATACTTTTATATTTTGTATATTATGTTTTATTAAAAAACCGTCATGATTGATTGCCTCATTTATCTTGAATTTAAATAATATAAGAGCCCCGAGCCCGGTTGGCAAGTTCAATACAACACGGTTATACTTAGGCAGTGATTAATTTAAAATATGTATTATCTAGTTAATGAAAAAAATAAAGCTTTCCCTCAAGAAGGTTAGGTATTGAAAAATTCGCCGCCCCTAAACAATGGCCGCTGCAAGAACGCGATTATTGTGTTTATTGGGAAATAACTTAAAACAGGCGCCCAGCTGTATCCGCTGCGTGGAATTTAATTTGAATTGTTTACCAAAAATCATAATTAAAGACAGTGTGGGAAACTTTTTCACAGTGAAATAATTATATATTATTATATGAATTCACTTGACTGCCGTCGATAATTGATTAAGTCGCTGTTGTTTTACAGAAAGACATCCACCTCAGGCAATTGAAAAAAGTGAACAAAATGGCTTTAGAACTATTAGCCGAAATGTCTGTACGACATATTGGACTCGAACCAACGGCCAGACAGTACTTGGCCGACAAGGACTTAACCCTGCCCACCGTGTCCGGTCTCCTGTTGTTGCCGTCTTCCTTAAAAATCAAATCCAGTTGCGGTTCTAGCGTCATGTCGTTGTCCAGCGGCGCGTCGACGAGGTAAAAAACAAAATTATTTATGTATAATATCTGAGATACGTACCGATCAATGATCATATATTTATAGAATTAGAAATATATATATATATGTACGTGTACTTGACCCACCCACAACCTCGATACGTGCAGTTTATATAAGACATTTCTTTCGAGAGAAATAAATCATATTATTTAATAATATAATAATTAAAATAAAGAAAAATAAATAAATCGTCGAAAAAAATAATTTGTAAAAAAAATGATCATGAGATTGTTTTCTGTTAGGTAGTATGGGCCATCCAAGTTGTCTCAAAGATCCCAAAATAGTGTCAAATGAATGGCTATAATAATTTGCAAGGCCACTTTTAGAATTTGCAGACAAGCTCCCTTTCTCCCGGAGCCATTTTTTCAAGATAAATTATCCCAACACTGTTTGCAAGTCCACTTAATATGGACAAATTTTGGTTTGAACTGAGCTGTATTCTTGCTATCCACAGATTAGCACCGAAGCTATTACACTTTTAGTTGTAATCTCCACTATAATAGGTTTATTTAAAGTGTTTATGTCAAGTAATGACTAAACAAAAAATCGTTGGTATTTAATTTAACTTTTAACGTGTAATTTAAAAGTGGTGTCACGCAGGATAGATACTCTAAACGTTTTTTTTTTTTTTTAATAAACGCTTTGATACGAATTTGTAGGTGGTATAAGTACTAAGTGTCGATAAAAATCATTGTATAGGCTAAAAATGTATATTTTGACAGTGACAATGAATTGACACTTATCACTTTCAGGGTTAATAAACCCTAACAATTAACATTGTGAATTATTATATGCTTGGGCATTAAAGGTTATTGCTTTTTAAACGGGGGGCGTCGATATTATATGCTTCACGAATCACGATGTTGTTCAATAATTGTCGTGTACAAATATCAATTACAGAATAGATGAAATCGGAAGAGACACTTGTAATGCAAACAATAAAGGTGGAAGTAATTTTGCTAGTCTACAATCCTTATCAATCAACTCTGGTTATACCGTGTTTGATCTAATCAGATACTTATTAACGTTAAGAACTTTATTACAATGTATGTATTTGCACTTTAATATGATTTCGTGTTTTCAAATTACAGTCAGTCGGACGACGACCGGAAGAGCAAGTGTTCTGTAGTCAACGTAGGCGGTGCCGGCGATTCGTTAAGCGGTCGTTGCCGGAAATCCGGTAAAGGTTATTGGTTCTGAAACGGATTGCGGTAAAACAAATTTTAACAGTTATAAAATCGAATGACTGGGCGAATTTACTGGGTTTTCGCCCGCAGACGCTTCGTTTGTAAACAGAAACCGCGCTAAAACTATGATAATAAAACGTGCCGTAGATCTTACATAACGGTTCCTTTGTTAATTAATTTGTGTATTATTTGTTCAGTACCTAATAAAGAGTCCTGTTGCTTCAAGCTCACGGGATATTTATGTATTGTTCATATTATTATTATTATTATTATTGATGATATACTAGTAACTAGGCAGCATTTTATAGCATCGCTAACGTCAAGATTAACCACGTTGAACCGTCATTTTGATACCAGATGTATACCAAATGGTTACAACACACGATACCGCCAGTATACCATATTCACAAACGTTACCGCAAAGTCGGAACTCAGAAGATATGCAATAGCTTTGTTCGTTTTGAAAAAAAAGTCTACACTTATAATTAGTAAAGTGTCTGGGTCAAGTTCACGATTAAAGATCTTTAATCGTGGTCAAGTTTAAGGGATGTGATCAGGTGTGGTATTTCAAAACAAACGTCTTTGGTGTAGATTAATCAACTGATAATTTATTTCTATTGATAGTAGAATAGATTATAAAAATTAGTTGATAAGAAAAGTGTACACTGATAGGTACAACACTTTTTCAAAAACAAACAGCGTATACTATTTAAAAACGAACGGTTTGGTGTACACTTTTTGTCAAAACGAAAAAACCTATTGTGTGGTTAGAAAACATGCTACGTGTATAATTTAATATGCATTTTTAAATGAGTGAATTCAGTTTTTAAATTAACCCAACTAAAAAGTTTAATAACCAAAGCAAACGCGTACGCCGCTTTCAGATAAATCATAAATCAATTGTTTATTATTTACACACGAAGCTTTTTATTGTGCTTAAACAAAAACAGCCGTAAATCTTGACAATCAAATTTTTGATGCAAAACCTTTTTCTTTACATCGATTGATATCATTAGTGATAAGACTGATGTATAAGTCAACTTATAGCGATAAGCGATTGTGTTTTTATTACACTTTCTAGTTGGATCGAGCCCATGAATTAAAATAGTACTGGTCAATGGTATTGGGTTATTTGCGGGATTTATTAACTGTAAAAAAAAATAAACAAAACGAATTTTTTTTTAATATTTGTTTTTTTTTAAATAATATTTTTTATATACCTTTACATAGTACATTATTACACAAATTCTAAACATTACATATCAATTACACAAAATTACACAGAGAACTAAAAATGTATATATTATATATATATAATAGAGTAATAATATGAGTATTTTTTTTTTTAATAATATATAATATAACAAATATTATAATATTTTTTTGTTTCTTTTCTTTTCATACTTAATTTATTAATAATTTCTTCGAGCGTATTGACTAAACAAATCAAATATGTCATAACTACAAAATATTCAAATGTCACTATACTGATATTAGAAAAAAATAAAATAAAAATAATTACCGCTTTAACATTTTAATGTACATATACAAATATATATGTTATATAATGTGCACATTTGTATACATATAAATATTTAAAGTACAAGTATGTTTCTTAAACACAATTTAAAATACCTATAAATGTGAGTATATCATTCTTAGTAATCAAGTTTTGTTATTATGTATTAATCAAATTCTAACTATTTTTCTAAAATTTAACAATTTTATTATAACAGTAATTGTTTTCCTTGTTTGTTAATTTACATAAAAATCTACGTAAAATGATGATCGTCACCGTGTTCAAAGCAAAAAATTATAAATACAGATAAAATGAAAAAAAAAAAAAAAAAATTAACAAATATATTTTTTTACAATCGGAAATACAATTCATACAAAAAATAATACAACTTCAATATAACATTATTCATATATAAATTATTTTTTTACATTTAATGCAATTAAATAAATGATCCAAATTTTACACTGTTGCAGTTTATTCAATAAAACATTAATTACACATCAGTCTTGCTATGAAATTTTAAGTTACTATTTTCTTTACAACACATTTTTGTCTTTCATTTTTATTTATTATTCATAAGGGGAAATCCGTACAAACTTTAATTTACATAGGAATATAACAATTATATTATATAATAATAATATAGAAGAAAATATAATAATAATAAAAATAATATCAAAGACTTTAGTCTCCGTTTACGCTTTGCAAGTGTTTGTGTACATTAAATTATTATTAAAATAATACAAATTATTTATGTTAATGTATTTAATGACATATTATTTTTTTTGTCCACGGTACAACGATAAAGTACCTAATAATTATAAAATGTATTAGTTAAAAAAAATCAAAAAAATTAAAATTAAAAATAAATCTAAAAAAATACATAAATCAAAATTAAATATAATAATTTTACGACTACTTTCTAGCATAAGAATAAAACGGGATTGGTTTTTGTTATATACTGATAATTCTTTTTTCCTGAATATTTGAACTCATATATTATATATATATAAATATGAATGATATAATTTATAAATATTATAACTAGTTATCGTCACCAATAATGTAGCATGTACATATATGAGAAAAATATGCGAGAAATACACATCTAAAATAGATATAAAACACAACTCGAACAACGTCCACGTAATCATAATAATTATATATTATATTATTAAATTTAAAACTATTCGATGTGTTTTAAAAAAAAAAAAACCTGAGAGTGCATTTTAAACAATCGTTAATCGTTATGTCTACCGACGTGAAAAGAATAAATGCAAAATTGGACATACGAGTGACATTTAAACGAGGATGTACTTGGTGGGTTTTGGAAAAATATATGTCTTATGATTGCGTATAACTTTTTGTCAATAAATGACCAATTTGTTGTTATCGGAACATTAAAGAACGAGTTTCTTGGCAAAGGAAATCTGTGTAGTGAAGAAACAAAATGAAAAATTGTTATTAAACGAGAACTAAAAAAAAAATTACACAAAATACTAAATATTAGCAGTCTTTTAAATTAATTGTGTTTTTTATTTTATTTATTAAACATGATTAATGGACAAATAAAGTACAAATTAAACAAATTATTTTTTCTAATTCGGTGGATACTAGCAATTAAGTGAAATCTATAAAATTATATTATTTATACAAATTGAATAATAATAATAAAAAAAAAAATAATAATAAAGAAGTTTTAAAAATCGAAAATTAAAAGATGTTTACAAATGATTTGTTAATTTATTATTTTTTTTTAAATAATATTATTATGTACATACATCAGGAACATAATATATTAACTTATGCGTCTATGAGAAACGACTTGGAGTTTTAAAATAAAAGTTTTAAAAAAAATGTATTATGAATGAAATGATACGTTTTGTAAAAAATAAAATAAAATAATAAACAAATAAAATTACATTGATTATATACATTTATCACCATTTATTTAATTTTATTTTCATGTATCACGGATATTGTAAAAAAAAAAAAAAAAATAATAATATAATAATAAAATAAAATAATTTAATAATTATAATTGTTACCAGTAACTGGTAGGATTTAATTAAGTTTATTACAGGTTTTCAATTATTTTTATACAACATAAACAAATAGTTTTTAAAAAGATAATTTTTTCTAATATGCAATTTTATACATCTATATATATAAATTATATGTATATAAATAAAAACAAGCGTTGTAGCAATAATTATGTGTACATTATATAATTTCTTTATACAGCGTATAAAAAAAAATGTTTACAGGAATGAATAACTTTTTAAATTTATATATTATGTGTACAGGCGCGGTATTTATATAGAAAAACGATACTTTCGACCTTTTCAAATTTTTATATTACAGAAAAACAAACAAAACTTTACTATCAAAATATCTAATTTAAACCCTGTTTAAAAATTAAGGAAAGCTATATTAAAAAAAAAAGAAAATATTACAAAATATTATACACAATCATTCAAGTGTTTGGTTAAAAAAAATGTATTTAATAAAAATTAAAAAAAAAAAAAAAAATTAGAACGTATGACTCGATTAGATTATCTTTATATTCATAATTTGTTTTGTACATTTGTTTAACACGAGGAGCCAACTATACATTAACACTGTATATAAGAATATTCGCAGAGGTCATTATAAACAATTGGATGCTAATTTATTTAATATTATTATTATTAATTTTTTACTCAATGTACATACCTTGTAAACGTCACCAATATTAGAACTTCGTTAAAAAAAAGTAGTCGTCTTTGCCAATAGAGTATTCATAAGTGTAATATTATAATATATATATTTAAGCCCCACACTTACAAGCTAAATTAGTTATTTTTTTTTTTGTTTCGTAACAAAATATAATTAAAAAAAATTATTTTTAGAAGACCAAGCCACATTTAATTGCCTAACTACACTGGATATATATATATATATTTTTTTTTTACTTATAACGCGCAAAATCAAGTTAACCCACTAACTTTGAATAATAATAACATAGTAGTAGCAATAGTAGTAGTAGTAGTAGTAATAATTTAAAAAGAAAAAAAGGAAAATTAGAACTTTAATTTGGATTCAAAATACTAAATTAAGGGATACAATAATTATTAGCAAAAAAAATATTACGTGTAGCGGAAAAAAATTATAGAATCGTTTTAGAGTACTCCGTTTGTGGGCGGTCCAATCGGTCCCAAATCGGACACGGCCACGGTTTGTTGGTTGCTCTTCATGAAGTACTTTTCCAGTTTCGAAATGATGTGCTTGCCGTAAGTATATTTGCGAAGAGACGCGAAATGAGGCCTGATCTTGTGCATCAACACTTTGCGCTGCGAAGATTCACAGACGTCCAACATTTTTTGTACCACATAGTTGGCGTACTGATCTTTCATCATAACGTGTAAAGCGCTAAACGTAAAAGGGCGGTTAAAATGATTAATGTTTCTACAAACACAAGCAATAGTTGTTTATAGAAGAGAAACTCACTTGTCGTTGAATGAGCAAACCTCTTCAATCAATATCGACCGTTCACTCCGTGTAGCGTGCGTAACACATTTCTCCACAACGTTAGACGCAAATTTGTGTTGTGACAACGTCAACACTTTACCACGGACGGAGCATATTAACTTAGATTTGTCCTCTTGTTTACCGTGTTCTGAGGAAAATTGAAAAATACAAAATAAAACAATCTGACCACCAACCAACACAATAATAGATACACACCTAGTACATGCTGAATGACGTAGTTCCCGTATTGGTCCTGAATCAATTGTTCGACGTGCTGATGCATTTCGTCGAGTATCGGCTGTGTCTGTTCGGGCGTACAGTGTTCCAGTATGCGTTGAATGACCCTGCAGCCGTACGGATGCGTCGATAAAGTGAGAACCTAGAGAAACAGACGAGACGACGACATTGTTGAAACTCGTGTACCCATCAAATTTTGCATAATACTGTCATACCTGTCCTTGAAAAGCGTTGATGATGAACTGCAATGAGTGGGGGTCGACACACTCGATACACTTTTGCACCACATGGTTGCCGTTCTGGTCCTTAACGCACTTGAGTACATGACCGTCCAGTTCCCTAACAATTTCTACTTGCTGCTCACCGCCGACGCTCTCCAAAGCCTTTTGAATCACCCTGCAGCCGTACATTTGTAACGCCAGTGGCAAAACATGTCCTCGCACCTGTGTAAGCATAACAGTGAACACATTAGGTTAGGTTAGGTTCGAAAGTATGACTGACTTACCTTTTGGGCCAATGTCGACTTTTGTTCCTGCGTGCCAAACTCGAAAAACTTCTGAATGACGTAGTTACCAAAAACGTCCGTCATCAGACTGTAGGCGGCCGCCAGTATTTCAGAAAACACCAGCTGCTTCTCCGGAGTGGACGCCCTCTCCAGCTTCTGCTGTATGAACCTGGAGCCGTGCTGATCTTGGGAGAACTCAACGATGTGGTTGGTCAAGTCTCGTAGTTGGAGACTGGGGTAACGATTGTTCCTGCCACAGTGCAGGAGAATCGGATCGATTATGATTAACCAAGCAAGAGCGCCGCAAGACTTTGGAAACTTTTTTTTTTTAGCTCTATTATTTATAATTTACCACAGTGAACTTTGCTTGTATATTATATTTGTCCCCTATTTATTTTGTGAAAAGTTAAGTTTTTAAGCCTGATTGATCAATCAAATAAATGTCATTGAATTTTTATTTCTATGTTTTATAAAATGGTAAGGAAATTATGTATGAATTTCAGTTTGAATGCATTGTCTAAAAGTAGATTTTTATGATCATTTTTTGCAGGCATATAAAAAACTAATTTTATTTTTATAACGTTTTTATTATTTTCTATACCTATTTATAGTCATTCGCTGTTATCACATAAAGTACCGAGGCCGTGTGTTTCCAGAGTAGCAAGCGGTAAGTAACAATAAGTTAATGTTTTGGAAACTAATCTACCTGAAGTCTTCAAGAAGACGGCTGCGACCGGACGGTTTCGAGTCTAGCGTGATGGATGATCCACCCAGCGATGAAGTGCTGCCCCTGACTCCCATTTTGTTAAACAAGGAACTGGTTGCGTTCGGGTTGGCCGCTGTGTTAAACATGGTCCCATTAGCAGCCAAACCTCCCATAGCATAATCTGTGTAAAATATTTTATATTGTTATTAATTATTATTAATGTAAATGTGCATTAGCACTAATGATATTTTTCCAATATTGACAAAGTTAAGTAACTTTATCGTTAAACCATTCATAATTTACATTATGCGAAAAATGCCAATGTCAATCTGACAAACACTTACCGCTAGCTCTGAATTTGGACATAGCTTCGGCGCCGGGAGCTGCGTTCATCAGGCCTCGGTTCGCGTTGTTGGCCGCTGTATTCATAAGTCCCATTTGTAGATTGGAAGCTGAGCCCATTGTCGGTGGAGGTGTTAGGGAACCAGAAGCCAGGCCGAGTGGACTTTGCGAAGCTGCACAAAACAAATATAAAAATTAACAAAACAACGATAACAACTTAGGTCAATGCAACATTAGTCACAAGGAGTACACAGAACATGTTATTGAGGGTAAATTTTGGTGGGGCTTGGGGCAGGGGCGTGTGAACCTTTCTCATCCAGTTAGACAGTTAGAGTCAGACAACAATGATACATAGTATTGACCAGCGGAAAAAATAACATTGTTGAAAAAACCGAATAGTCTTAAGCTTCAGGTTTTTTTACCTTTGAAAGACTTTCATAGTTAATAAATTTAATTTTTGAACATATAGACGAGATTTCCAATTGACAGCTTTTACCATATGACTTCCTCATTTAGATTTGTATAATTGGAGATCTCGGTAAATGAAAAACGAGCATTATATCCAAACGGCAACAAGAAAAATAAAATGTTTAACATTCTTTATTTGTTAAACTATTTATATTTTTCAACTTTGAATGCTATTCCAAAACAATTTTAAGAAAAAAACAAATAAGGAATTTATATATAATTCACTTTTTCCTTTCTTTGCCAACTAACACACAAAATGTTAAACATTTTTTTTTTTATTTAAATCATTTTATTGCCAATAATAAAACCAAACCTACGTCCTACACCGATAAAAACCAATTATGTTTATAAAAGGCGAGTGTGTATGCAAATTATATTTATTTAAAATATACAAATATTTAAAATAAATTGGTTATAAGATATTTATTTGGGTTTTCTTAGGTTCTCGAAAACTCGTATAATTAACTTGGAATTCCCTTTATTACTTCTTGGCTTAAATGTTTTTTTTTTTTTAAATATATACTCAAGTCTCAAAGTGACTTAGTCATAAGTAAACAAATAGCAATAGCATAAATGTTGTTTAAGACATTTTAGAAAAAATGAATCACAATTTCGAGCTGAAACTATAAAACCGTCTAAGCGTGGCAAATGTTTTTATCAGCAAGTGATAATGTTATCAACAACTAACACTACAACCCGTCTACTAATCACTTCCTTATCGTAGCTGGAATTTCTTCCTATCGATTACATATTGACGTATTGGTTCCACGAAGACTAGTTTCCTAATCTTCGTGGTCGATTTATTATAATCCTTACGTTGTAAGGCGACTGCATAGTTTAGGATTTATGAAAACGCAAAAAACAGATCAGGCCAGATATGTTCGTTTACCACGACAGTTATAGAAATCGAATTAAAGAGCTAGAACCGGACCTAACCTATAACAACCTACCAGTCTCTCCGATAGTTAAATTATGTAAAACACGTGTACACCCAAAACGAGTGTATATTTGATAAAAATGACGACAGCACAAAGCTTGTATTTCCAGTTTCCGCCACTTGTCCCTCCCCCACAAATAATGAACACACACGTTGTATGTGTCCAAAAAAAAAAAAAAAAACAACACAGTCTTATGTCCTCCTACTTACCCAGCGCTCCGTACTGAGGCCACTTGGGACGGGCGTAGTCCATGGACGGCGAAAAAGCGGACGTGTTGCGGTCAAAGGAATCGCGTCGGCCGGCGTTACCGGAACCGAGACCCAGACTGGCGTTAACATCGTGCATGCCTGTCGGAGAAGAGCAAAGCAAAAAAAAAAAAAACACCATAGGTTAATCGATATTCAATCAAGAAGTAAAATATCATTAGGATTTATTATTATCACTAAGTCGTTAATACAACACTAGACGACTAAAGCGCGGCGGCCGACAACGAACGAAACCCCAAACACGAATAATTATTTACAACGCGCCACGACCCACCTAATTACTAACAGCACGTTCGTGTCCTACGGTCTATACAAGAGGCTACTACTTGAAATAAATTATAATACTCGATTATCACTGTACAACAAAAATATTGGACATATCTTTGGAACAAAAAAAAAAAAAAAAACAATTTGTTTAGTACTATAGTACTAGCTTTGATAGTAGTCGAAGACCGGTACTATATAAAAAAAAAAAAAAGACGTTTTTTATAAAAAAAAACCTTTGACAAGATCTGGATTCAACGAGCAAGGAAGCCCAATAACACAGTGTTGTATTCATGTTCCGAACTAGTGTTGTTGTACAGCGTTTTCGAAAGACAACAACAGACACGTTTTAAAAAGACTAAAATCAAGCTACTGTTATACGCCGAGTGTCACAGACTACTACTACTAATCATCAACATTTTCTCACTAACCGATCACAGGCGCATACTTGGGGCACTACGGGCAGGCGTTAAGAGGGGGCGTTTTCGAGAAGGTCTAAGAGCGCCCCCCCCTTGGAATTTTTTTCTCCGATAACTAAATAATATTATATTATTTATGAAGTCGGTTTATAAAAGAAAAAAAAAAAAAGTAAAGTAATTTGATTTGAACTATTCTTCCGTACAATGCCCGAATGCAATAATTTTACAAGGTAGGCCCCAAGGAGAGAACACCGCGTTGTGTATCCCGTTTTATACTATTCGTCTCCGAGTTTCGAAAACTACTATTTGACCGATACGTACATATTATGTATCGTTATGATAAATCGTCGTGCCCGGGACTTGGATACAGCAGCAGCAGACGTGTCGGCGGTACTCAAGAAAAGCGGGCGGGAAGAAGACCGAACGACGGGCAGCCGAGCGTGGTTTAAAGTTAATGCACATTCGTCTTGACTGCGCGCGCTCTGCTGTCACAATATTTCCGTTTAATTAACCCTTACTTTCCTCTCATTCAACCCCTCTCCGTTCCTTCCTGAATGCGTTGCCACGTTCAACCAAATTTGAATTACCCGGCGACGACAGAGAAGGGGGGGGGGCGATGGTTGTGGTGTCGAACATGCGAGCGGAATAACAATTAATTTATTACAGGCCGCCGCCGCCGCGATGGTGATCGTGCAAACTTTTTGAATGATCGAGAAAAAAAAAACACCGAAGCCGAAATAGGAGAAACAAACAAAGAGAAAACTCAATTATAATAAATAATACAAATTAAAAAAAAAAAAAATTCTCGAAGAGCAATGCGCCGCGGCGATGCTGCAACGAATCTGCGCCCGATTGGCAGGGCCGACTCCTCGATTGAAGAAATACCCCCCCCCCCCCGTAAGTGCGGAATCCGAAAATGCCGGATTAAAATAAAAAGTACCGCGATCAAAGACCTACGCGCAAACCGTTAAATTCGCCAGAGCTCGGAAATGAGTTTTAGACAGAAAGAGAGAACATCATAAAATATAAGTTTTGAGTGAGAAAAATAAAAAAAAAAAAACAATAAAACGGCAAAAAACGTGCCTTTTGACTTGCATTCGAACAAAATGTTTTTAATAAAAGTTTATCGTAACACGTTCAAAAAAAAAAAAAATCACAAATCACAAAATTTCAACGCCGTTTGATGTACATGGCGAATTTGGTTTGCAAATATTGTAAGTCGTAGCCATATTGAAAATGATAATGATAAAAATGTCGAAATCGTTCTGTTTTACCACTTGTGTTTTTGTTCGGCGAATAAGAGGTGCATTTTTATTTTATTTAAAACGTCCATTGCAAACAACAAAAGCAGAGCTTATGCCAGGCACGAAATTCCATTATGGCGAATGGACTTAAAAAAAAAAAAAAAAAACAAACCAAAATCGATCGCGAATCAGATACCGCCAGAGGCAAATGGAAATAAAGACCAGATGCTTGTGGAAAACTCGTTGCTTCGGCCAGTCTGATCGAGGAAAAGTTACTTAATATTCGCATCTTATTAAAGCGCATTCGATCGGACGAATTTTGGGGTTCAACACAAAGTGAGGGTGGTAAGTTCACATTTCATTTATGAGGGATGTTTCATTTGTGGATTATTCACCGACTAGTATTTTTTAATTAAAATAATTAACGGAAAAACGCGAGCTCGAGTCCAGATGAAGACAAAGATAGAGATGACAAAAATACCAAATCGTCCCACCGCAATAGTTGTGTGTTTTCGTGGACGTTTTAAAATATGTAAAATACAGTAGAGTTGGGCAAAAGACTCTCGGGCAAAAATAGCCGTTAAATTAAATTCTAAACCGAGGGCCGCCAGCAAGCAAGACACGGTATTAAAATGTTAACGATCCACGGGGGCGGTGCACTTCGGATGACTTTTTACACAATACAAACATAAAAAAAAAAACGCGCCCAATCGTCCCGAGGAGTGTTTGCCGCCGCCGCCGCTAAACTGTGTTTTTTAAGACGTTCCATTTTTTTTTTTCGAGGTTAGTAATAAGTAAGTAACGTGCGACGTTCAAAAACAACAATATGCAATAAATATGATAAAAACTATCGGATTGTCATACAACGTGCCGTGTGTAGAGTTAGTGTAGGCCACATACAAAAAACGGCGGCGGCGACGACGACGACGACAATCGGGCAAAGCACATAATATTATAAAATCGTTATTAATATAAAAGCGCAGTGGCGTGTTTAGACAACAATGTTAAAAATAAAAATACTATTTAGTTGTTTATAATTTGTTTGTCACGCTTATTTGGCGAACCCGATGCGAATAAATCATATTTTCATCACTCGAGTCGCAGATGATACTCGTTATGTAAATACTTTTCTAATACTATTGAAAAAACCTATACTACTATTGGTTACCTACGGTTGCATATACACATCCGATGGCCAACATTAAAATCAATATAATTACACAACTAATTTGCAATGCTTGTTATCTCATACAATAACCATCAACTAACAACATAACGTTTCCATAGCGTTCTTTGATCCTATACGAGTCATATCCCTCCTCTGAAAAGAGAGGACAAGGCGTAAACTATAAAGCGAATATCGTAAACACGCCACCGACAAAACCCCCCGTGTATGGGTGTAATAATATATTCGTTAGAGAGACGGTTAATAATTATTTATATGCAGTCGATAACGTTTTTTTTTTTTTTAAAGCCGGTGAAATTCTGTGAGAGTCATCAATAGCTGATAATAAACGAGCGCGCGCGGTGTGTGTATAATACTTCCGAGAGAAGGGGTGGAACGTCGACACGATGTTACAACAACAGTATAATAATATATATATATATTGTTATGCGTAAAGCGTGCAAATTATCACACTAGTATATGTTATTAAAAACAAAAAAAAAACGGTATACAACAAAACAAAAATATACGTTATTTGATTATAGCTTTTTGGCCGAACCAATTCGAAAACGACGTGCCCCGTTTTGCCGAATCATGCAAAATTTACCTGCGCTGACCCCCAGCGACGAAAGGCTGGATGTCAGTGAGGTCAAGTTGGTCGGATAGCTGTTGGCTGCCGAACCGACCGCCTGTTGAGGCTGTGGTTGGAGACCTGCTACACACACACACACATACATACACACAACAACAAATGACACGGTTTTTTTAAACGCATCATAAATTTATAGTAGTAGCAGCAGTGGTAGTGGTAATAGTAAAAATAATAATAATAATAATAGCAAAAAACGCGAGAACACTGAAAAAAAAAGCGACCAACGACAACATAATGTTACAGTAGTCTACTACTCAATGAAATATATTATACCTAGTAGTTTAAAACAACGTCAAGAGACGAACGACGCCACCGCGTTTTAAGTCTCGTGGAACAATTTTGGGGTAAAGCAGTAATTTTGAAGTTGCAAAACTTGCAAGTACAATCAAAAACAAGTGCTCGGTTTATTTTTAATATCGGATTGTGCCAGTAGAAAAAACATATTTATACATTATTTTCGATTGTAAATATGTTTGTACTTTAACAAGTAGAAGATTCTCTACATTAATTATTGTTACACACGTTAGAAACATACGTTTCGGAGTTTTTTTTAATGCTAGGACGACGGTCTCACAACCAGAAAGTATCTCTAAAACTAAAGAAATTCGAACTTGAACATATAAGTCCACTCTCTTAATGCAACAAAACGTGCGGCTATAAGCTGTATAATCGGTATTTTTACCGCAATTTATTATTTATCACGTTTACATTATGTAGCCGTTAGTGCTAATTAGGTTATTCCGCGGATTAGGTGCATATAAACTTAATTTTGTAATGCGAATTAACTATTTAATTCGAATTGTCCAGTTGAACTACTCCGGGATTAAAAATTACATATAAACCCAAACACGCTAGCTAATGATGCGCGTTAACTTCATTTGCATTAGACGGTGGTAATTATTATTATTATTATTATTATTATTACTACTATTATTATAATCGTTGATTGCACATTTGATAATGAAGATGGTTTGCCGTCGTTTTCATTTTTCGTTATTGAATTTTGGCATTCGTGTACGTAATATACAATACCAAATAGAATAGAGGCGGCAGGGTGAAAAAATCACAACAAAAAAAAAAGCTTGTCGAATCGTTTCCCTCCGTCCGGGACGTATATCACAAAATAAGAAAAGAAAATCATCGGCGACTTGAAAGTACATATATTGTTTTAAAATTTTGGAGGGAAACGACAGGCGGGCGGCCATGACAGTTTCGATAGCGATAAATTAATAAGTATAAAAATGATTGTTGTGTTTACCTTGCTGGGCGTTGACGATGACGGAAGCGGGCGAGACCAGCCGCAGTTGGCCGCCGTTGCGGGTCATCACCAGCGAACCGTTTTGGTCGTAGAACGCCGGTATCACTTGGTACTGGGTGCCGTCCGCTTGCGACGGGCTCATGGGCCTACGCTGTTGGTTGGCCGTGTTGGTACCGTTGGCCGCGGTGCCGGGTTGGCCGCCGGCCGCGCCAGCCGGTTGGATGATGCTGCCCGCCGGGTACATTCCCCACGGTACGCCGTAGTACTGCGGTACCACCGTCGGACCTGAGCCCATAAAGCCTTCATTGAGACAAACGCACACGCACACACACACACACAAATACAGAAAATGTGTAGTAGTTTATATACAAGGGATGGGGGTAACACATAACATATATTATATTATTATTAATAATAAAGAAAAAAATAAGTATGTATTCATAAGACATAATATTAATACCAAACCGGATTCTTATGTCTCCTAAAAAAAATAAAAAATATTATGTTTTTACACACAACCAATAAATAAAATTTGCCTTTAGTGCAATATTGTAAAAACATAAAAATCCGATTATCTACGAAATTACTCAAACTTAATTTAATAACAACTATCTAACTTTAATTTTTGAAATAGATTAACTTTAAATTAATACTTTATTTAATTATTGTGTGACACGCGAGGGTCGATTTCTTCTAATGAAAGCTCTCCAATGTCAACCATATAATACTTCCATGTATCTCTCTCTTTTCATCTTTCATTTGTCGCATTAAACTGTTATCCTATCCTTACATACCTTGTAATTTCTTAAGATTCCACGCCCGAACCTTATTCATTATTTTTGGTAAATCGTTTAAGTAGGTTCAAATACATTTTTTTTCTATCTATTTCAACTTGAGCGCTTATGTAACCACGACTTACAGTAAACTAATAACATTTGATCGTTGAGGTTTCAACCAATAAAATCAGAAATAACCACTACATCTTGCCTTCTGGACACACCTTTAAAACTGTCTCAGTACACGAAGTTCAAACAAAAATTATAAAAACAAACTCGTTTATCATTAGATTTTTAGATATCTTTGCTAACTTAATTGATCACCAAGTCAAATCTATTAGTTTTCTCTTTCTTTTATTTCTACAAACCCTCGCGTATCGTATTATCTTAATGCATTTAATTTAAATTTGAGAAATTACAAAAAAAAAAAAAACCGCTATTTTATATTATGTTAAGATATTTACCGGCAATGACGTAGGGTTCTTGGGGATTGATCAGGTAAGGCGTGGTACCCGCCGTGCCGGGCGGCGCGAACGTGGCCGCAGCCGCTGCGGCCGCGACAGGCGTGGCGGCCGGAGCCGACGCTGCCGCCGCAAGTCCGGCAGCCGCCGCTGCCAATTGCTGTTGTTGTTGCAGGTGGAATTGTTGTTGTTGTTGCTGCTGGATGAGCTGCAGTTGTTGGGCAGCCACCGCGGCCGCTGCGGCCGGATTGGCGGCGGCCGCCGCTGCTGCTGCGGCTGCTTGTTGGGCTTGATGATTGCGGAACAACTGCTAAACGACATGCAAGGTTATTAATACCAGTAAAAAAATAACATGTAAATACACAAACACACACATGGACCAAACACCGTACATAATTGTAAACACGTCCTGTCACAAACTTAAAAAAAAACTTTAAGGCATAAAGGCTTAATTTTAAAAAAAAATCTCTGAAAATCTGGGAGCTTTGGCTTTTCTGTTGTAAATAAACTCGTTACACATTTTCACGGCATCAGCATACTGTAATTACAAACACTAATCAAAAGATTTTCCCGTCGAATGAATATTTACGCCATTAACGAACTTGTGTTTGATAAGTTTGATTTTCCTTGAACTCAAACAGAGTTTATTTTAAGTTAAACCGTTTAATGATTTATTATTTTCAACAACCCAGTTGCTGTAAAAAAAAAAAACAAGTCATAAGATATCTTGAGACCGTAAATGTTTTTTTTTTTTTAAAGTATGTTGTCGAAAGATACAAAACCTTTGTAGCTGCCATTTGTATGTCAACCCATCTCGACTTTTAGTATAGTTTAATGGGAATTACATAGATCTACAATGTTGAATATTGGTTTCTATCGAGTTTTATTACAGTAAATATGATACAATTTAATGTCGCCGACCGTAATTGCTTTTTTTTACGATGCTTCTTCTTTTTTTTTTTTTAATTATTTTCAGCTGGATAAAGCTTATAATCATGTATTAAAATGTCCTTAACGAGTCGAGTTTCAAGTTTGTAACACCGCAAAGGTTGTCGAATTAAAAATGGAGATTCATTATGATAAAACAGTATGACAAAGGCATTATTTTTTATTGGGACTAGTAGAAGTCTCATTCCTAACTCGAACAAATTTTACTTATGGTTTTAAATTTATACAATGATGAATATTTTAATTTTAATATAGGTATAGTTTTTTTAAATTAACAAAATAAATAATGCTTACATTTAAAATTTTCATAAATATATTATTTTTGCATGCTTCAAATATTTAAAAAAATGATAGAATTTTTTTGTTTATTTTTATTGCATTTTATCAGTGATCTAATAAGTTATTATGAGAGAGGCGGCGAATATTGAACCAAAACAAACTACGGCCAACAGTAAAAAAAAAAAAAAATGTCGCCAGTTCGACTATATACTTCAATAAAAAAAAAGTTATAACAGAAATGTGTGAACATGTGTTACAGGTACGGAAAATCAATTTCTTAACGTCAACGTCAGAAAAATCGCAACAATAAAAAACAATACATTAGCCATCACATATTTTACACAATTTAATATAGTACACGGCAATTCTAAAATAATAACGGCAGTAAGTCTTAGGTTAAAAGTCGGAGGGGCGGGCAGTGGTCACTTTTTTTCCGTTGTTGTTTTTCTACTACCCTCTCCGTTTTATAACAATAATCATTAACATGACATTTTTTATTCTCACTCGTCGATCGACCTTGAAATTGACATTTTCGTCGGGCGTTTTACGACGATTTGCTCCAAGACGTGTACGTCCCCCTCTCAAGAGTACACACACACAATACATTATACAAAAAGGCGTGGCCGTCGTTCACAAAAGGGGAATAAAAAAGTCCAATGTTCTTACAACACAATAAAAACAACTGCGTCTACTATACACACTCACCCCTTTCGAAAACGATGCAATAACACAGAGTAAACTAATATAAACCACCCGTCCACGTCATCGAGGCTAAGCCAAGCCTAACCTTGTAGTCCTAACCTACAACGTGGTTTTTTTCAATTTGGCGAACGATTTTCAAAATCGATGCCATAAAAAAAAAAACCACTAAATCGCTTGTAACGCCGAACCGCCTGTCAACGAACCCCGTCGTTTTCGCTGCGGATAAGTGTTTTTTTTTTTGTATGAAGATGAGATTGAATTATTTAAAAAGAAAACCGCAGCACCATGCGGACACAAAAAGCCAATTACTCAGATGTATTTTGCGGTTAAAACCAACGGATTTCGTGAAATTCCCACGACGTGGGCGCCCCAGACACGCTTTATGTACATACATTATTCCCCCCCCCCCCCTAAAAGAACCAGATATTAACATCGATTTTATAATCAATAATGATTTTACGATTAACAAATATTATTTACAATAAAACAACGATGTACATTTTTTTTTTTTTTTTTTTACAATTATTCACAAATTTTATTACAAGAAGTGTGAAACGAGTGCGATATCGGGTAGAATTTGCGCAAGTCGAAAGAAAACGCACGTTTTTTTTTTGTCGCAATTTCCGCTACCAAGACCAAAATATGTCGGTTCCAAATGGTCTCCCGGCGTAAGTTATTGCTTGTTAGGTTTGCATAACATTACACTCACGTTTACAACAATGTCGCGTTAATATAGGGAATGGCGTCAGAGGAATTCCAAGCGGGCGAGCACCGAACGGAGCTTATGACCAAGTTATTTACAAAAGCAATATTTTAGGCATTTACCGGCGCCGCCGCGCTCACCGATATTCGATTGCCGCCTGTATAGAATACGTACACACGTTATAGGGGACATGGGAAATAAACGATCGAAAGGCCTTTTATGTTGGCAAACACACACACACATCCGCCGCCAATTGGGGAGAGGAAGCACAAGTTAATCGAATACATTTTCGGTCGCCATTAATATTGCAAAGAGCATTCAGCAACGGAGCCGACGCGACAATGGTGTCTCCGCCGTACCTGCATGAGTAAATGGAAAACTAGGACCGACAAAACGACATCATTTCTATTGCACCCTTCCCACAGCCATCATCATACATTTTTAACCCGCACTTAGGGAAAATAGCCATCGCCGGACAGAGTTCATTATTTAACAAGCATATGCCACGGGGGGGGGGGGGGGAAATACGAGAGGGATATCCAAATGACCACACGGGTAAGTACGTAGTCGACAGTGAGGCTGGGGGGGGGGCGTATAATAATAATGTGATAATACTATATAAATAAATAAACAAACGATCATCGTACACCTGCGTTGTAAAGGTTGAGGAAATTCTAAAATAACACATTATTATCGAACGATTCTCTCTCTGGGTTTTTTTTTTTTTTTTTTTAATCGCAGTTTTGATGACTGGCGGATTTTACCATAGTATCCAGCTATCGCAGGAATACAAAGTTTTTACAAAGGTTGAACCCTATAGAATGAAGACATGGACGAGGAGAGGAGAATTATAGTTTATTACAAAAGCGCGGTTGCAAGCAACCAATGCAACCGAAAAAAAAAATGATTTGAGAGACAAACTTCAATCGCCGCAAGAGACATAATGGAAGGACGTCATAAAAAAACTTATTCAGACCTTTCGCCGGTTTTGATGGGCACAACGATAATAGTATAACCGTTCCGGAAACTTATATATATATGCTATAGCCCCTTAAAGTTATAGAAAAAAAACGGAATTCGCTCTAATGACGCATCGTCGGACACGATTTCCAAATGAGAAAATTCACGGTTCGGAAAATATAACGCTATAATTACTGTATCATACACATGTGATATGTAACATGATTTTCGTGAGCGTTTCCTCGTTTGGAAGATATCCGTGACGCGTATCCGGTAAGCTCTTGGCGAGGATTACCGATTGTGAACGCTAAACCGTCCGCACACATTTACAGGTATGCGTGTGTAGGGGGGGTGTTATAATAGAATAATCGACTATGGGAAAAGCGTCGCACGGCCGATCCAATTAAGCGTCGAGGGTGTCAACTTGACACACACACACACAATAACAATAATAGTAATAATATTATTATAGCATATGATTGTGATCTCCGGACCAATAGGGAAAATTTGATACGCAGTCGTGTTGTAATCGACGGGGTTGGAAATTTTGGATGAAATGATTAATTAACAAATGCGCGCAATGGGTGGCTCTACTAGACAGTGTGTGGTACGAATCGATCAACCGATGACGGCAAAAGTTATAGCGGCGGTCGTACCGGTGAACGACCGAAATGGTTTTGCGGGAGTCCAGAGTAGAAGAGGGCAGGACGACTAGGAGACGGAGACAAGTTGGAAATGGCGTTTTGGCGATAACAGTGAAAACGATTAATAGACACAAAGCGCACACAAAAGTGTCTGATCCAATAACGAACAAAGCATGAAATGCGGGTAAAACAGAAGCATACATCGTTGTGTCCATATTAATCTGATAGACAACAACGTTCTGACCGTGGACGCTTCGGCCTAATCTAACTTGCGCAGATTTAAAACGCTCGTTACAGAGACCATTACAAAATATGGAACACATACATACTCTTGTCAAGGTAAGCCGATATGAACATGCATTCGATATAAACCAGAGATAAAATTATAAATTCACCCCAATCAGACCCGAGGGAAAGTTACACAATACATGTGTTTGATTTGACGGTAAACATTTTAAATAATAAAAATTCTAAAATAAAACTAAAAAATATTATTGAAATTTCCACGAAACACTAATATAAATGTTGTACTCTAGGTTAGCAACGCACGAGATTGGAAAACGGCCACTGGGTTATATTTGTGTGATACATCAGGATCAACATGAGATAGGAGAGAGGAGGGGAAAGAGAAAATGTGTAGAGCCGTTCGGTTAGAACAAGTGACGCTGTGATGGAAAATGGAAATTGAATCGGCGAGAGCGAAAAAAATTGCAAACAAACTTAAACAAAATACATAATATGCAAATCCAAAGAACAGATGAGATAAAAATGTTTTGAGAAATCGAAGAGCACCGAAGGAAAACGTTTTGCTTAATTTATATTTACTAATAGTAAAGAGTGAAGTTGTGCAACCAACTGTCCTCCCACATTGGTTTTGTAGATAAAAAAAATTACAATTTGCTGTTTTTCTTAGTAAACAAAATACAGAGGTGGCGGTATCGAATTGTGGGCGTAACCACTAAGCAAGTTAGGGAGCGGAAGAAAACTTACTTCTTGGTAACGTTGATCGCACCTGACGAGTCTCTTGGGGCCCCAGTGTTGTGCATAATCTTATTCGAATAATTATTCAAAAGA